AGCCAGAGTGCTCCTTGGAGGCCAGGATGGCTAAACTTCGTCTTTCATACTTTCGACATATTGTCAGGAGGGAACAGTCGCTAGAGAAGGATATCATGCTAGGTAAGATGGAGGGTCAGAGAAAGAGAGGAAGACCCCCAACGAGATGGATCAGCCAGGTGGCATCATTGATGGCATCAAGTGTGACAGCGGTAGTGAGGTTGTCCCAGGATTGGACATTGTTTCATTCTGCTGTGCATGGGGTCGCTATGAGTTGGTTCCTCCTCGACGGCACCTGACAACAACAAATGTCCTCAAGGAGTCCTGGTGAGGTGCTATAGAATAAGTACTGGGTAACAAGATCAGTTTGAACCACAAGGTCACTGGTTCAAATCTACCAGGCACTCCTTGGAAACTGGATACAGGGTTGCTATGAGTGAAACTTACTGGATGGCATTTAAAACAAACAACAATGTCCTCCAGATCATCACTGCTGAGTTGTTCCTGGATCCATCACCATTCTTTATCATTACTAAATATTCCACTACATGTATATAACACAGTTTATACAGTCATCCATAGTTGGACACTTAGCTTGTTCTCCTTCGGGTTATTGTGCAGCTTCCATCATTGTAACCTCTGACTCCAAGCTATGGACACATTTTCTTCCCACCCCAAGTGCGGGTTCAGAGCCCTAGAGCGCTGTAACCTGTGTGCTTTCTGGGGAGCAGATACTCAGTACTAAAACTGGGGTGGCAGTGTGTTCTTTCTGAGATGCTAACTAACACTTGCCTTGGGATGTCCGCAGCGTCCACAGAAAAAAAGACATCAGTCAATGGAGCTGTCCGGGCAGGTGAGCCTGGGTACAGGTTGTTCACCTTATTCCCCCATGTCAGTCAATAGTGCAAAGGCCCGACCTCTGTCATCACCGCCGCCCCTAGGAAAGGATCTCCAGGGACTTAGGCAGAGAAGCTAGTCTGGGCATCACGGGGGTCTGTGGCCTGACGAGCTGGGAGTGCCAGGCCTAGAAGGCGGCCCGGGTGCAGTAGGAATTCCTTTCCCCTTATCCTGGGAGCCGGATTTTCGGTTGGGGGTGACCTGGCCCTGACGCCATAATCCTCCCTCCCCCATGGGATACGCCTGCCCTGGAACGGAGGCTGCCTTTCCGGAGTGCTCTGGGCCAGTCCCCAGAAAGGCGGCAGTTTCTGTGCATCGTGTCCTCGCCGGGGGCGGGGGAGAGGAGGACGAGCTGCCCGTGCGCGGTCTGCGCTTGGGTCCCCGCCCGGGGGATAAACGGTCTTGGAGCATTCTGCGCCCAGAATCCGCTCCGGAGAACCGAGAGCCAGGCGTGGCCAGCGTACTGGGTCCCCGCGGGAGTACTTGCGGCCCTGGCGCAGTCTGCGCGCGGTAGCGGGCGGGGAGACTCTTTGAATGCGAGTAAGCGCGCGAAACGGCCGGCGGCGGCGCGCGCCATGGGCGGGGTGGGGCGGGGGCGGGATCTCGGGCTGGAGGCGGGTTCGGGGGCGGATCCAGGGCGGGGTCTGACTGACCGGCCTCCTAGCTGCAGGCTGGCGGCGGCACAGGCGGCGCGGGGACTGCGGGGACAGAGAGGCGGCCGCGCGGCAGAGGAAGCCCGCGCCGCCTGCGCCTCCGAGGCGCGCCCGGAGCGGGAGCGGGAGGCCCCTCGGCGCCGCCCAGACCAGGGCACCCACCAGCGCGGGCCCGGAGCGTCCAGCAGCTGACGGCGCGGAAGGAGCTGAGTACGCGGAGACAAAGCCCCGGGGGCGCGATGCCCGGCGGCCGCAATCCCGGCCCCGGGCGTGGGGACCGCGAGGAGTGAGCACGCCGCCGGGGCGCCGGGGCGCAGGGCAGGCGGCCCAGGTGCCCGCCCCCCGCCGCAGCCGCAGTGGCCGGCGCCGCAGCCAGGAGCCATGGGCAATATCTCCTCCAACATCTCGGCCTTCCAGTCCCTGCACATCGTCATGCTGGGCTTGGACTCAGCCGGCAAGACCACCGTGCTCTACAGACTCAAGTTCAACGAGTTCGTGAACACCGTGCCCACCATCGGCTTCAACACCGAGAAGATCAAGCTGAGCAACGGCACGGCCAAGGGCATCAGCTGCCACTTCTGGGACGTGGGCGGCCAGGAGAAGCTACGGCCGCTGTGGAAATCCTACAGCCGCTGCACCGATGGGATCATCTACGTGGTAGACTCGGTGGACGTGGACCGGCTGGAGGAGGCCAAGACGGAGCTCCACAAGGTGACCAAATTCGCCGAGAACCAGGGCACGCCGCTGCTGGTCATTGCCAACAAGCAGGACCTGCCCAAGTCGCTGCCGGTAGCCGAAATCGAGAAACAGCTGGCGCTGCACGAGCTTATCCCGGCCACCACCTACCACGTCCAGCCGGCATGCGCCATCATTGGCGAGGGCCTCACCGAGGGCATGGACAAGCTCTACGAGATGATCTTGAAGCGCAGGAAATCTCTCAAGCAGAAGAAGAAGCGGTAAAGCGCCGGGGGCGCGGGAAGCGGGGGGAGCGAGTGAGTCAGGAGTGAATGAATGGATGTGGATGGCCGGGCGGGAATCCGCGCCCGCGAACAAAGACAGCGAACCAAAGCAATGCTTCCAATTTTCCAAACGGCACCTCTGCACCTCGGTGCGGGCCTGGGGACTCTAACCCGGGCCTGAAGGCCGACTTTCCTGGCCAGTCCTCACTCCAGGTCAGGGGACCTTTTGTCTGAATGCCAGAGCTTCAGATGGGCTGGGGGGCTCGCCCCTTCCCGGGTCCGAAATGGTGGGGACCCTGGTGGGGAGTGGAGCGCACGCATGTCCTGCTGTTTGCCCTCGCTGCCCCCAAATGGAAGACTCTGTTGCCAGAGACAAAAGCGATTTCCTCCAACCCCTGCGGGGCCCGAAGTTCAGGCTGCCCCGCCCCCACTGGCGACATTGCACCTGTGCTTCACCTGAGGTATGGGGTTCTCAGAACCCTCGGGGGTTCCCGTCTGGGGGGCGTGTTGGCGCTGGGTGGTGCTGGCGGGGATGGACTATGGGATGTGGAGATTTGTATGTCACAGGGCAGGCCCCTGTGGAAATTCCGTTGGTCCTGCTCTGGGGCCCCCCTGGAGACGTGGTGATTTGGGCCCTGCGGACAGTCTGGCACCATGCCGCAGCCCAGGCACTGATGCGGCGCCGGCCTGTACTGGGGACTGGCCGCATGGCCGCAGTGATGTCCTTTCCTGGTGCTTTGTGGTGACTACAGAAGACCAGTTTGATGAGACCTGCTTTTCGACTTGGAATCAGACATTCTCCAGCTGGGTTGGACCCTGCCCATGTGTAGGGCATTATTCACACAAAGAGACCAATAAAAGGAAAACAACCAGAGGACGGTTGTTGGAGGTGGCAGCAATTTACTGTTTGCAGGGGAGTGAAAGGGGTTTAAAGGGGAAGGCTCTTTGCGCAAATGCTGGCAGGGATGTGTGTGGATACAGGGACCCTCCCTCCCGGAAATGTGTAACGGTCATAAAAGACCTAGACCCATAGGTGTGAAAATTTCAATTCTCTTAGCCTACTGATTGGTTTGGTATGAGCACAGCCGCTGCAGATGTGTGCTAAATCGCAAGATGCGTTTTGTAAGGGATGCCTCTTGTCATTTTGTGTGATGATGGGTTTTCAGACATGTTTAAAAAAAAAAAAAACTTTGACAGATGGATATTTACCTTAGAAATACTCACCGTAGGAAAAACAAACATAAAGAAAACCCTTCTGCTCTGCCGTTTTCTATCCCTTGATGCTGCAGACAGCATGACATGCTGGGGTTTCTAATTTGGTTCATTGTGACCTATTGGGTTTAAGTATTTCCTTCAGAATGTCTCGAGTATTTGATGTCATGCACCAAAATAAATAAATAAATAAATGAAGCCCCACCTTATTGCAAAAGGCGACCTCATTGCATGGATTTAAAAGCAGAAGGGAGCACAGGGACAAGGTGGGTTGTCTCTGACCCACTGCTGAATGACCCGGCCCCCTGCTGCTACGCAGCCACCAGCATTCTGGCCAAATACAAACACACACTGGTGAGACCAAAGAAAGCCTGTGACGTCATGCTCACCAGGCTTGGGCACCTCACCATTTATCTGAAAGGGGCTTTGGAAAATGCAATCAAGGACAAGAAGAATAAATACATATTTTTAAATAATGTAATTTTAAAAGAATCCTTTATCATCAAAACAGAGTCCGGGTTTGCATTTGCCCGGAAACACAGATTCAAAAGGGAAATTTCAGCTTCTGGTTTGATTTTCATTTCCTCTTTGAATCCATGCTTACTGACACAATTATGGTTCCCCTGCACCCCCAGGCAAAATGTCCTACATTTCTTACGACGGGTGGCCCACAGAAATTGGATGTGACCATACCTGAGCACGTGAATTCGCTAAATTAAAAGTTCATACCCATTGTCCTTTCCAGCAAGTTCACGTAAGAACCAGAGATAGAATTCTAGCTTTCTGCTTGAAACCCAATTCTTCCATGAGATACTTTCAAAGAAGAGCCCTAGCAACCCATATTCCTTTTCTCTTTTGTAGGTGTATTTGGTTCTCCTCCAATGCTGGTCTTTTTTGTAGAAACTCAGTAGAGAAGATCTAAGTCAGCAGAGTTGAAAAGCCTGCAAGATTTCAGTTTACATATCAACAGCATAGTCACTGATTTCTAAATGGGCTGGTCCCATCATCTGAGTATTCTGTATAGGATTATAGAACATAACAACAACAAATCCATCTTTCTTTATTTTCTTCACATGCAACAATTTCTTAAGCACTTTGACATTTTGGTAGCTCCACACTATTGAGAGAAGAATATATTTATTTTGTGAGATTGCAGATGCCAAATACTGTAACCTTCCTGTGCTAACAAGATCACTGTTCCGATCCCATCATGCTTTTCCAAATAATGCGAACTGGTTTTGTGTTTTGCATTATCAATACTGAAGGGTGCAGCCAGCCGTTTTGTAAATTGTGCAGTAAAGTAAAACTCTGTGGTGTATCCGCGAGTAGTCCAGAGTCTCTGTTGAGTTCTGTCATGTTTGACCATTTCATCTCTGACCAAGCAGGACATACAGAGAGGTCCACCTTGGCATGGTCACCCTGGGGGAGTGCCCCTCCACCCCCAACAGTTAGTGATGTATTTATACCTACTGCTTTTGAAGGATGAATGGGTTTCACGTAGAGGAAGCTGACCTCTTCAAGTGAACTTTCCAAATGTTTTTCTAGTAGATACTGGGAGGCCAGCTTTGCTTTCAGGAACAATCCTCTTTCCAAACTCTCTGTCACGGTGTTGGGACTTGATCTTCTGATCTCAGTTTCCTTTGTCCTGCTGTAACCCTCTGTCTTCTTCATCCTCCTCGGTTTCCGTCCCCTTTTATAATGCATACATGATGCTGTGAACAGAAATAAATTATTTATACAATCAAACGTTTGGGGAGATTTTTTTTTTCCCCCTGGATCTGTGGTTTTTTAATGGTTCGGTTTATTCTCTTGGTCTCCTTTGCTGACTGGGGATTGGCTCATAAGAGGGTATCACAAGTTCTACCTGGTTCTAGGATTGTATCAGCTTTTTTGGCGCCAATGTTTTGGGGGGGGTTAAGTGATGAACTACTAGCCAACAAGTAGGTGGTTTGAACGCACCCAGAGGTACCTCTGGAAAAAGACAGCAAACCCTGGTGATCATCTGTTCACAAGTCTTGAAAATTCTAGGGAGCAATTCTATTCTGCACCTACAGGGTCACCATGAGTCAAAATTGATGCAGCAGCAAATAACAACATGTTTTTTGGTTTTCCGGTGAATTCAGAGGCCTCAAATGCAAGTGCCAGTGTGCCAATATGCATCTGAGGTATACCCACTCATGCCTCACCCTCCTACTGGGTCCTTGCTAACAGCTGTTGTTATTGTCAGGTGCCATCAAGTTGGTTCTTACTCATGGTGACCCTGTGCACAACAGAAACACTGCCTGGTCCTGCACCATCCTTACATTCATTGTCACCCTGAGCCCATTGAGGCTGCCACTGTGCCAATCCATCTCACTGGGAGTCTTCCTCTCCTTCGTTGCCCCTCCACTTTACCAAGCAGGATGGCCTCCAGGGACTGGTCCTTCCTGACATCATGTCCAAAGGATGAGAGATGAAGTCTGGCCATCCTGGCTTTTAAGGAGCATTCTGGCTGCACTTCCAGTACAGATCGGTCTGTTTTGGCAGTCCGTGGTACTTTTAATCTTCTCCTCTAACAGCATAGCTCAAATACATCAATTTGTCTATGCTTTTCTTTATTCATTGTACAACTTTCACATGCCTGTGAGGTTACTGAAAATACCATGGCTTGGGTCAGGCACACCTTAGTCCTCAAGCTGACATCTTTGCTCTTCAACACTTTAAAAAGGTCTTGTGCAGCACATTTGCCTGATGCAATATGTCATCTGATTTCCTGACTCCTGTTTCCATCAGTGTTGATGGTTGATCCAAGCAAAATGAAGTCAATGACAACTTCAATTTTTTTCTCCATTTATCATAATGTTTTTATTGACCCAGAGGTGAGGAGTTTTGATTTTTTTACATTGAGGTGCAATCTATACCAAAGGCTGTGGTCTTTGATCTGCATCAGTATGTATTTTAAATCCTCTTCTAGCAAGCAGGGTTGTATCATCTGCATATCACAGATTGTTAATGAGTTTTCCTTAAATCCTCATGCCCCATTCTTCTTCGTATAATCCACCTTCTCAAATTATTAGCATACAGACTGAAAATGTATAGTGAAAGAATACAACCCTGATGCACACCTTTCCTGATTTTAAGCCATTCAGTGTCCCCTTGTTCTGTTCAAACAACTGACTCTTGGTCTATGTTCGAGTTCCTCAAGAGCACAGTTAGGTGTTTAGGAATATTCATTCTCTGCAGTGTTGTCCAGAGCTTGTCATGATCCACATAATTGAAAGCCTTTGCATAGTCAATAAAGCACAGGTAAACATCATTCTGGCATTCTCAGCTTTCAGCCAAGATCTATCGGACATCAGCAATGATATCCCTCATTCCACGGCCTTGTCTGAATCTGACTTGAACCTCTGACCTCTGGCAGTTCCACGTCAGTGTATTGTTTCAGCCAGTTTTGAATTACCTTTAGCAATTTTCTTTTCTTTGCTAATGTTGTTGTTGTTGTTGTTGTTGTTGTCAGGTGCCATCGAGTCGGAACCGACTCATAGCGACCCCATGCACAGCAGAATGAAACAATGTCCGATCCTGGGCCAACCTCACTACTGCTGCCACACTTGACGCCATCAATGATGCCACCTGGCTGATCCATCTCGTTTGGTGTCTTCCTCTTTTTCTCTGACCCTCCATCTTACCCAGCATGACATCCTTCTCCAGTGACTGTTCCCTCCTGACAATATGTCCAAAGTATGAGAGACGGAGCTTAGCCATCTTTTGCTAATAGTCATCACTAATTATTCCAAAATAAAAATAAGATAAATAAATGGGCCTTAATGTCTAACCTTTCCTCAGCACCTTCATTTGTTTAAAAAAGTGTCACAAATTTTTAATGACAAAAATTGCTATTTGATTCTATAAAATTTGGGAATAGTTACCACCTAATATGGACTCCACGTGTTGGGCTGCCAACCGCAAGGTCAGCAGTTCAAAACTACCAGTGGTTCTGCTAGAGAAAGATGAGGCGTTCTGTCCCTGTAAACATTTACAGCCTCAGAAACCCTGTGCAGGGTCACTAT